CCTGGTTGCACTGGGCTGTTAAGGTCACCTTTAGGCCTATCTGAACCTTAACTTCTACGTTTTGTTAAATCAGATACACTCTGAACTGAGAACTTAAACAGGCAGCCAAAATAACTGGAATAATATCTCTGGTTGAGGCTGATTTTGTATCCTGTGTTTCTAATCTAGTGTTAACCCATGTCTGACATTCTCATGACCTACTGACCACTATCTGACAAGCTATTGGCAAACAGACCACTGCGGCCATGGAAACTTGCTTAAGGTATAAGAAGTTCAAGTGAGCTGCTCTCCAGGAATAGCAACCAAGCCTTACCATGAAGCGCGATGCATTTCACGTACTTGTTTAAACGGCTTTTAGGCCCAATTTTACTATTAATCGGCGGGAATCAAAATTTGAAACTTCTGCAGAAGTTGGACCAATGAGAAGACGTCTTTAAATTAATGGATGTATATATTGAATTGATTTGATTTCTTTTAAAATGTCTTCCAAACTAATTATGCGATTTTTGTAAAAGATGGGCTCCCGATTCTCATATTAAATTAAGAAATACTTCAGCTTTAAAAACCTATTTTTTATTTTGTCCGGAAAAAAAGTTGACGCAAATTCCATCAAACAAAAAGGGTTTGTGGCCTACACGAAACATGGATCAAACCTGATACAATAGATTGACATGACGCCATTTCTGAGCGTTTTATTGAAAATTACGGTGTCTCACTGTTGCTGCACAAAATTCTGCTTGATAAACTCTTCACAGATATAAGAAAAATTACAAGGTGCTTGTTATTAAACAAACATCGAGTAAGTAATCAATTTACTGACATAATGTTAACAGGAAGATTTCGCGCACTGTACTGGACGGTAGGATGACTACATGACCTCGCTGCGCCACGGTGACGCAGGCAAGGTTAGAAATAGTTGTCCTACTGTAGGATGACTACATGACCTCGCTGCGCCACAGTGGCTTTATAGGGACAGTGGCGACAATTGATCGTCAGTGTTTTGATTGTTGCCGCCATTAAGAGGCAAAATTTGTGTTGTTTACCCTTGCTTGTGTTGTGTGCAGTGTATATATCCGTAGATTTGGCTATTAGAGATAGAATATTAGTATCTGTATGAATAGGTGTATTAGGATTTGGCGAGGTATTTCACGAAAAGCAATAATTGTATACTTAAATAAATAGGTGCTTTTTAACCTGTTTTGAATCTTGTGGATGATCAATGCAATTTTCTATTGAAAAGTGCCTGAGCTTTTCGTGAATATACACATATATGTCATATTCTTTATATAACAGCAAACATGTGTAACAATAAAAATACGAATACATAAAGAAAAGAAAAACCAAAAAGATAACTCTTAGACATATTTTTTAGGGTTTCTATAAAAAAATTTTTCAACATAAAATAGCATCGAGTCCTTCTGTTGATTTCAGTTTTTTCAACTTATTCTAAAGATCACATCAATATATTTAAACCACTGTAAATTGATTAAAATGTAAGAAGTCATCACTTCAGAAAACGCATCCACATTTACATTAACATTTGTTGTTGACTTCCATAAATGTTTCTTGAACTAGAGTGTAAATACTAAGTATAATGAATTATATGTACGTATTTTTAAAGTATGAATCTCACTTAGAAAATTTACATTAAGTGTTACAAATAACTAAATAAAGACGCGAATCTAATTACACGTCGCTTATAGTAAACAAAGCAAGTTTTGTTTCTAAAGTCCCGGCCTCACGTACAAGTATCACCACGGTCTTACTTGTGCAAACCGGTTGTGTACGGTAAAACGGTTGCTATCGCAAACCAAAAGGTACGGCTTGAGTGAAAGTTGCTCTGCTGAAAGTTTCACCTGCTCAAACCTGTTTATGCAACTAAACTTGTACGTGTGGACGACGTGCAGGTCAAATGGAGACTTACCTACTTGTTCTAAGCAATTTATCACAGGATTTATTGATTTATATCGCTCATTACCGTGTCTATGGAAAATAAAATCAAAGGCTTGTGCAAACTTACTTGCATCATGTGGCCACACTGTCGTGTTCCGTCTTTGTCGAGCAAACTAGACCGTACAAGTAAGTCACTGTTGTGTGTCCAGGCATTCAATGCGGCGGGCGGAGTTAAGTCTCTATTGTCACCACTGTCCCTATAAAGCAGGAGTTCCCAACCAGAAGGGCGCATAGAGAGATGCCGGGGGGAGGCGACGGAAAGCGTTTGCATTTCAGAAAGAAAAAACAAAAAAAAATAGACAAACAGCATTAACAAATAACATTACAATGTAATGTTCAATTTACACGCATAAAATTAGAAATCAAATATCATATTCAGTTATTCTGTCAACCGCTGTTTCAAAACCCGGCGTCGTCAATTGCAGCTTATACAAGTTTCGACAAGTCACAAGATGAAATCGGCGCGCACCCCCGCCGCGCTCCGCTTAACATTCATCACTTAGAAAAACGTGTACCTACCAGACGCGGATGAGCATCTGTGACATTCATTCCCACAAAGTTGCGAAAAATTTGCACGTTTCGATTACATGTTTTGTTGAGAAATCTCTTTGAGTGTGTCAAATTGTCGTGTCTCACTGTTAAAAGGTAAGTTTGTGTATTTACAAACTTCAGTTACCATTTTTATTTAATTTACTTAATTGTGGATTGAGTGGAGACGCGTTCATAGATCGGCCATTGGGACTTTTTTACCACATCACAACCAAACCAACGTGGCGAAATAATCTTCTAATCTGGGACCTCGGTTGGCCGCGTGGGTCAGAGTGTCGTGCTACTACTGATCAGCCGGCCGGCCGGGCCGCGAGTTCGAATCTCCCCTTCGCCATGGATGTTGCGTGTTTGTTTTAGGCAGCAGCGGTGGCCGCAGTAGTAGACCCTTCGGCCTCCTGATCAGCCGCCGTGCGCTGTACGGGTTCGAGTCCCGTCCCAGGAGAAATGTTTCTCTTGGCCATGGATGTTGTGATTGTCCGTAGGTGGTAGATGGTCTCTGACTGTCGAACGCGGAGGTACCACCCGGCGGTTCTCGTAGGCGGAGCCAGAATGTGTGCATGTTGCATGCACACGTATTCCCTCGCCAGAGTCCGTGTGGCGTCCCCCCTTTCCCATGTATCCCCCATAGCCCCACGGTACCCAACGGGTGCTTAGGCCTTAGGCCTTCGTGGTAGTTGGAGTATAAAAAAAAAAAAAATCTTGTAACGACAAACTTTGAGTACCTAATATTGATTCCAAATGTACTTGAAGTTACTATTATAACGTCAACCTGCCTACAAAAATATAAATCTCACTGTTGAATACATTACGTTTTTAAGAAAAAATAATGGGCATATAACTAGTAATTACATGTAGGTATTTTGCTTATTTATTTATTACTTATTCGTTTTATTGTTATAGGTGCAAAATGACAGCGAAAAAAGAAGGTTTTCCGAAGAATACGTTAATTTTGGATCTACTGTCATAGAAAAAGACGAGTTACAATTACTTCAGTGTGTGATTTATATGAAAGTTTTAAGTAGTGATAGCATGAGGCCCAATCGCCTTGAAAGGCATTTGAAGCAGCAACATCCTACTCTGGTTTTGAAGACGAAAGAGTTTTTTCTTCTAAAGCAGAATCACTCAGGCAGATCAGACTGAATAAATCGGCAAGTTATCACACATGTGTATCGCAGCATCTCAAAGCTTCATTTGAAATACCTTTTATTATAGCAAAGCAAAAGAAACCTCATACTATCGGTGAAGAATTAATAAAACCATGTGTCCTAAAAGCCACGCAGATAATTTTAGGAGAAGATGCAGAGCAAAAAATGAAGTCTGTTTCTCTTTCGAATAACACAGTCAAGCGTAGAATCAATGACATTGCAGCAGAAATAACGTCGCAAATAATTAACAAAGTGAAGTTATCGCCATCATTTGCCATTAGTTGCGATGAATCCACCGACATCGTTAATTGTGCACAGTTGTGCAGAGATATCATTCAAGGAGATATTTTGTACTCCCAATCTTTGACAACAGGTACTACATCTGAAGATATTTAATTCAATATCAAATTTTGTTGACTTTACACAGATAGCGCACCGGCAATGATAGGTTTACGATCGGGATTAGCTAGAAAGCTCAAGGAAAAAAATCCCGCAATGGTAAGAAGACATTGGGTTATTCGTCGGTAAGCTTTGGCTTCCAAGACATAGCCACTGAAATTACGCCAGACTTTGGTCTCGGATATAAGGATTGTCATCAAGAGCAGTGCTTTGAATAGTCGGTTATATATATCAAAGCTTCAACTTTGGAATCAAAAAGTGTCTTCTGAAAATGTTATATCTTTTTCTCGGCTGTTAACATATTGAACGCAAATTCAAAAGCTGATATAAAAACTCATTTGCAAGCGCTGGAAGACGAATTTTGCCGATAGTATCGAGACATCAATTCAGAGTCACCAATATGGCACATGACATGAAATACATTTGTTGTCGATGTCCCACAATTACCAGAAGAAGTTCAGGAAGAATTTCTAGAAATGAGGGCTGATTTTTCCATGAAAGATGACTTCCATCTTTTAGCATTGGAGATTTGCTTCAAAAGATTAGCTGTTAATTCGACACTTGCCTCTCCTGCTTTACGAACGCTAGTTCCTTTTTCTTCAACTTATTTATGTGAGACAGGCTTTTCTGCTCTAGTTTTATTTAAAACTAAACAGAGAAATCGTCTTGATGTCGACAGCGACCTGATGATAGCTCTGGCAAAAACAGAACCTAGAATCAACCAACTGGTACAGAACATGCAATCTCAAGTAACTCATTAGTACCTACTCTTATTTTATTCAAGTTTTTTGATAAAAAACATTCATTAGTTTATTCAAACTCTTAAAGATTCTTTTAATAATTAACGTAAAAGTCTTTGTACCTAAATAATGTGAAAATATAATTTATAGTCCGGGAAGCCCCAACAAAAAAAAAGGTTGGGAAACCCTGCTATACGAGGGACGTCTTTTAAGTCTTGCATATAGAAACATAGTAGGCCGCGCGGGTCGAACGCCAGTACTGAATCTTAACCTCACTCTTTAGTAAACTTAAATTCAAAGTTTCACAGCAATACATGCAGTGTTCTCACTACAGTGAATTTTTAAGTGTCACCAAGTGATTAGAAAATTGGAACTCAACCGAGAACATTTTCGCGCCATAATTTATTACAACTTTCAGAAAAAATTATCACAACAAGAATGCCTTGCTGAGTTACTGTCTATTGTCGGCAACGAAGCGCCAAATCAGTCGACATTTTCCCGTTGGTATTGAGAATTCAAACGTGGATGGGTAAGTCTTAGCGACGATCCCAGGGTGGGTCCACCAAAACGTCGATGCTGTGCGCAAACTCATCATTGAAGATAGACATGTGACATATCGCGTGATCTCAAAGACCTCAATTCAAAAAAATTTACATGAAGAATTAGGAGTAAGAAAATCAGTTTCTTGTTGGTTACCCCACCTGTTGAGTGAAGAGCAGAAAGCAGCCAGGGTTAATTGGTGTCAAAAACCGCTTGACCGTTTAAATTCCGGAAACTCAAAAAATGTGTACAGCATTGTTAGTGGTGATGAATCGTGGATTTGCTGTTATGAACCAGAAAATAAACGACAGTCGGCTGTTTGGGTGTTCCAAGGTGAAGAAAAGCCAACAAAAGTCATCCGTTCTCGAAGTGTTTCGAAAAAGATGGCCGCGACATTTGTGTCAAAGCGGAACGTATTGCAACAATTCCTCTTAATGAGAAAATAACTGTTACTGCGGATTGGTATACCACCATTTTTTTGCCAAAAGTCACCCCCAGCTTCGAAAAATCAACCCCAGGAGAAGAATCATCCTCCACCAAGACAATGCAAGCTCGCACACAGCCCAAAAAACAAGGCAAGGACCATACTCCATATAGTCCCGATCTAAGTCCTACCGATTTCTTTACTTTTCCGAAAATTAAAAACAGACTGGGTGGTCAAAGGTTCCAGTCACCAGAAGAAGCAGTTGACGCATTCAAAAATGCCGTTTTGGATCTGCCAGCAAACGAGTGGAACAAGTGCTTCGAAAATTAGTTAGAGCGCATGCAGATGTGTATTAATCTTCGTGGAGAATACTTCGAAAAAGAATAAAGTCATTTAAAACTACCTAGCGTGTTGTTTTATTAACATATGCAAAACTTAAAAGACATCCCTCGTAAAGCCACTGTACTGTTAACAGGGCTGGCGTAAGGGACAGGGTCTTTCGCACGGTAGTTGTCAGTTCGATATCTCTAAAAGATGGGGTTCTAGAACTTCGTGGATATAACGCTGCGCGTTCATGTTACCTCTGATGAAGATTAAAGGTGACCTGGAACCATAAGCTATAGCACCCCAAACCATAACTCCAACAGTGTGAACATGTCTTTCAACAAAAAACTATGGATTCCTCCTTTCACCACGTCGCCTTCTAACCCTGGCACGACCATCGTGCATGCCTAAACAAAATCGAGACTCGTCACTAAAGACAATACTGTTCCATTCCTGATCCCAGAGTGACCGTTGTCTGCACCACTCAAGGCGATTACGTCGGTGTTCTCGAGTTAAAGGGAGGACCCAATGTGGCCGGTATGAAAACAAGCCAAAACTTCTCATTCGTCGGTAAACACTTCGCATGCCAATAGGTCTTCCGTGTTCTGCAAACCATTCATTTGCAATGGACCTGGTAGTGGAGAAACGGTCCCTTAAGGCCAATAACCTTAGGCGGCGATCTTCACGATCTGTTGTTCTACGGCGGCGTCCAGTGCCCCTTGCTCTTTGCGTACGGCCTTCTCGAAGCCATGCCTGACAACACCTAACCACAGTGTCTACACTTCTTTGCACTCTAACTGGAATTGCCCGAAAAGAAAGTCCAGCTTCCCGAAGTCCCACTATACGACCCCTATCAAACTCGCTAAGTTGACGAAATCGTACAGGTCTCCGTTCTTTAGTGCGGCTGAAATATTCATTTTTAGAGCGTTAGTGAATTAAAAAAAAGCAGTATGAAAACCGGAATGTCCAACTGATAAGGCTGAAAATTTTTTCACTTTTTATTTACAGTAAGATAAATACATTCACCAACTTTTATTAAAATAAAACCATTTAAACTGGGTGTTCGGATTTATATGTCACTTAGTATAGTTTGCGTGACATTTTACAAGAAATCGATAAAATTTATCAGATCCATTACTTCAAAGACGTCTTTTCGTTGGCTGAATTTGTAACACACGTGGGACTAAGGCCCGTATCGTCAGTCGTCCCTACAATTGTAGGGCGCCTTTATGGCCTCCTTGATTGTCATAGTTTTCTACTTCTCCGTGTCAGCGCTCTATTTTGAGGTTATGTCACAAACATCTATTTGCATCAAATTGTGCTTGCTTTTGAATTATATCATGTTCTATCAGCCTAAAATTTCTTACAATTTAAAAAGGAAACATATCTTTACAATATTAGAGCGCTGACGCTGACACGGGACAAGTGTACCTAATCTAGAAATTTTTGAAGGTGAGAAAGGAGTATGACAATCAAGGAGGCCATAAACGCGCCCTACAATTGTAGGGGCGACTGACGATACGGGCCTAAGGGACACAAATACTTCAGAATGTTTTTGTTATAAGTTTTTTCCTTATTTTTAAGGTAGGTCAGACAATTGTCTATAAAAGGTCTCTACCCAACTAGCAAAGTAGCTTTTGGTAAAAGAACCGTTCAGCCATAAAAGCTCTCTATTGTTGTTGCCTGAATACCAAAATGCTGGCTTAATGTTGTGTGGAATGCAAATTTGCTTTCTGCAACATATTTGCTCTAAAATGAGGTGTTTAAAATATTCTTATAGCATAGTTTTACAACGCCTCATAGGACAAATTTTTAACTGTTGCATAAACGTTTATACAACTATTTTATACGGCATATTTGCACGTTATTCAAAATGGTTGTGTTGTGGCATCCATGGTAACGTTTATAAAACAAACCCGAGCCTTGCTGTTTTGCTGTGCCTATTACTAGTTTATCCAACAAGTTGCTCCCAACGGAAGCACTTATACAACTGTTGTTTAGTAACTGTTAAAGGCTGTACATATGCTAAATATGTTGGTATACAACTTCTCCATAACCTAACTTCCTGCTGTCATATTTTTGTTAAAATGCCATAACCAATGTTTTAAGACAAACAACGAATGCATATTGGTTCAAAAGGTTTTATCAACTGTTCAAACAGAAGATATAGATCTGGTACAAATTCTGGGTAAATCATTCGATTCTGTCGATATTTCATTTCTGACATTTGTCAAATTGTTTTATAACACCTGCAGGCAACACCAAAATATTCTAATAAACTAAAGACAACATGGACGATGCTATGATCATACACAACCACCCGCCATATTGGGCAAACATTTATTCCTCTATTTAATATTAAATAATTATGTTTCAGTTCGAAATTACAGATATAAAGTGATAAGCATTAGTGTAATTGTGTCTAAATATAGGATTTGTGGAATATTTGACGCAGATAAATCCAGTTTTGAATCTTAAAAATCTAGACATACTTTTGATCATTATCAAAATATGCATCAAATACGAAGCCCATAGAAATTGCGTAACTACTTTGCACGATAATCACAATAAAATTTGCTGCGCAAGTAATTCAATAACCCTATATCACAGTGTAGAAGTTTATTATATACCTGTGTATGAAATTCACAATGGCCGATATGTAAGTAAACAAGATGACTGTAATGTGTTAGTTATATATTCTTCACTATGCAATATATAAGAAATAGTTTGGTTGCAATAAAGTAGAATCACGTAACAGAGTAGTTGCATAGTTGACAAGAACTGAATCTTGCACTGACGCAAATGTCGTATAGCGGCTGCAAGAGGCTTACACTTTTGTTGTATAACTGTTACCTGCAACCCTTATACAACCTCTTAAATGCCTGAAGTGTCCTATTAGGTGTGCCCATTCCGCTTGCATAGCTGTTCTAAGAGGGTTTTGCCAATGTTATTACAGTATACAATGCTGTGTAAGGAATACTGTATAATCATTCTTGCAACTCTAATAGGAGTGATAATTGTTAGTTGGGTACAGTACACCATTGCTGTCAGTTATCAGATCGTTATCTTAGCTAATTTTTCACTAATCAGAGTTAGGTTGGTCTTAATATTAGGATCAATTTTTTGGTAGAAGTGGTTGTAGAGAACAGCGGTATAACCGACCATAAATTCTCGTTTATATTTATAACTGAGAAGTAAACTACTGTAAATTGACACTTAAAAAATATATAAACCGTTTGTCCACTATCTCAAATAAGATCTCATTGTCACGCCAAAAGATTAGACGCTCTCACACCCGAAACTGTCACCCGTATACCTGTATCTCCTATAAAAGAAGAAACCGAATTTAAATAAAAGACGTCAGTCGACCGAGGTGAAAATTGAATTCAGTTTAATTTCCCATTTGAATGCCACGCGTCTGCGGATGTTACTACCCTGCCGTGACAACCTTTCGCTCAGTCGTTCGACGCATCGTTAATTGATTCGCTGTCTTGAGGGGCGACGTGGCGGACTTCAGTTTGAAATGTCATTAACATTTCTCATGGTAGCCTTTTTTAAGGCACGTTGCTTCCTACTCCCTAACTGAATAAGTATTGTAGTTGCCAAAAATTTGAACATGAGATATATGTTTTAGGTTTTAGGATGTTATATGATAGCTACGTCACCAAAAACCATGTCATTCATTTGGGTCGGACTGTCTGTCTATCGGACTGTCGGTACGCTATTTTTTCGCCCGCCTATAGCTTCGCAAGAGTGGCTCGGAAAATGATGAAACTCTTATTCGAGGTTACTGCTATGTCAAGGACGAAAAAGCTTTTTAGGTTTTAGAAATCTGCCCAGTTTCGGCGGGAAAAACGCCCAAAAACAAAAACACAGAAATTTCTCAAACTTCGCCTTTTGACGTTTTAGATGATACGGACCATCTTCAGAAAAGTGTTTGCAGGAGTTAATACTTAGTTGCTTAGTTTTGAGGGGTGGGGGAGGGTAGCAATTTGTACGTTTCTATCCCTTGTACTTGTACGCACCTATTACACATACTTCATGCACCCTAGATTTCCCTGTACATTTACCATCAAAACTTGAATGATAAGGATGTCTTTTCGATGTGAACATTTATTTTATATAAATTATGTGACGTATTATGCCTTTGGAAATAAAAAGCAATTTATATTCCTTCTGTAAACATTCAGAATATGTACTTCTTAGGAAAGGGGTGAAATACGAGGAGGAGGATAAAACCTTTTTACAAAATATTGCTATCATTAGTATTCTACATACCTTTTCGAAATATTGAAAAACATCGTAGTTTTTCAACTTAAGGCGGCTCCGACGCAGTGAGTTTCAAGCCATGGGTTCAGCTGCTTCAAAACTGACACTCCATTTTTCAATACTTTTCAATGAAATTCATGCATTATGTTGAGAAGATAATTGCCCAGGGTGCTATAGGAGCACTTTTTGAAATTTTGTTTTTGCACAAGTTTTATGATGGGTTGAATTGCGCAATTTTTCTGTTCAACTTCGCGATTTTGTAGAACCTAGTGAAAAAAATTAAAAAGTGGCTCTATAGCACCCTGTGGGGTTTTGTTTTCAGCACACTGTGAAAATTTCATCCAAAAAAATCAAAAAATAAAGCGTCAATTTCGAAGCGCGCAAACCTCTACAAATCGTATTTTGGACGCATTTTGTCTACTGTTTCGTGCTGCCAACACAAGCGTGGCGGCGCAATGTGCGGACTAAGAAAGGACGTATTCAGATAATTTGGTGGCCCTATTTGATATAATATCTCGTAGATAACTCGTTCTGCAAATAGGTACTCGCTGACACTCATCGATTTTAGAGCCATTTTACTTCCCACGCCCCATTGTCATTAGGTTTCTGGAAGTCAATAAATTTTATCATTGCTGGCATTTTATGCTCGTAGAGATGGTGACAACTTCTCCCATGAAATAAATCTGATCAGTTTTTGTCGATCCCTTCCGACTCTCAGCTTGATAACAATGTGTCTAAAATCTTTTCTGGTCCCACTCTTATC